TCCTTCCCTAGTGCAGTAACCATCTCTGTCAACTTGTCATAGAAGGTCATTTAAGTGACTTGGCCAACACAAACAGTACTGCAATGAAGGTATGCCACACTTTGAAATTGGTTATCAGCTGTAAGTAATAACCAATTTAAACTGTTTAAACAGTTTAAACTAATTTAAACTAATAACTATTATAGTAACTTAATAAGTGAAAAAAAATCTTGGACCAATAAAGATGGAAGAAAAGTATAGGAATAACTGGTCAGAATTAAAAGGACTAAATCACAACTTTTATTTCTTTTTGTATATTTGAAGCGCTGATCTTAGGTCTGGGCCATCATGCCTTTTTGTTGAATTGATCTCTTTGTCATTATCTGCCCTTCCTCCTCATCCTCAGCAGTATTCCTTGCCCTGAGTCTACTTTGTCTGATAGGCCCTTCAGCCTTCTTCTGATCATGCTTGCATAATATGCCTTTTCCCATCCTTTTACTTGTAGCCGGCCTGTGCCATTGCCCTAGTGGTGAACTGCTGCTGCTCTTTACTTGGAGCCAGGCTCGTGGTAAGGGTGGGGACTTTCTTGGTTCTCTTAGTCCCGACTCCATCTTAGGCAGGTACTATGTGCCTGGACTTCAGGGTGGGACTTTCTTAGCATTGTGTGCGTCCACCTTCCGTGCCACCTGGACTCTGCCTTATGTGTGTGTGTGTCTGTGTGTGTGTGGTGGGGGCTCTCGTGTGAGAGATAATTTCCCATGTTCCCCCCAACCCCCACCCGAAGCTGACTTTTGCAATGTGTCAATGCAGAATCCAGCAGATGATGGTATTTGCTGGTACCTCACCCCAGGAGCAGTAGATCTTTGCCTGGGTCCTGGGGACAGGGAAGGTTTCTTGCCCTCCCTCCAGTGAATTAAGGTTTTTGCATTAGGTCTGAGAGAGGGGTTCAGGAAGTAGGCAGGATTTTACCCAAGTCCAGTACTGAGGGGTGCTCTCTTCAGTCTCGTGCTCAGCTCCAGTCATCCTCACAAGCACCTGGGAGTGGCCCGTGGAAAAGGGCTTACAGGTAAGTTCAGGCAGGAATGCTAGTGTTACACTAGCCCATGCTCAGCTTTATAAGAATTCATTACAATTGAAGCTGTTTTCCTGTCACCTGTTTACATAGCAGCCCCATCTTCCTCCTGTGCCCTGTGAAGGGTCACAGGGTTTGCATGTCCCATTTCTCCTTGGAGGGATTTGTCACTTGCTAGAATTCAGTTCATCTGATTGCCTTGTGGCCTCAGATCTCTGATTAGCTCAATAAAAGTTATGATTTTGTTGATTATCTGGCCTTTTTGTTGGGTTGAAAGTGATGTTCTCTTATAGCTTTCTGCATCTTAAGCAAGGATGGTAGAACTCTATTTATTTATTCACCTGTCCCTCAGCAGAATTATGTAAGTAAAATAGAATTTAGGTTCCTCACAGATCAGTGCAGTTTGCTAATACAAATACTGTATATAGTTTCTCTGTTTTCCACGTCTACCATTGGTTTAAGTTTGAGCACCCCTTTTTTACTTTGTATTTTGAAATAGTTTCAAACTTACAGAAAATTTACAAGAATAGTACAGAGAATTCCTACATGTCCTTTACTTAGTTAGATTGATCAATCTTTAACATATTGCCACATTACGTTTGCTTTATCATTTCTCCCCTTTCTATATGTGTATGGGTGTAAAATTTGTTTTTCTGAATCATTTGGGAATAGGTTACAATATTTTGCCCTTTTATCCCTTAATACTTCAAGTGTATTTTGTAAGAACAAGGATTTTCTCTTATGTAACTACAGTATAATTATTAACTTTCAGAAATTTACCGTTGATAGAATATTTTTATTTAACCTAAAATCCATATTCCGATTTCCTCAATTCTCCCAGTAATGCTCTTTCTAGCACTTATCCCCTCAGCTGTCGGCTCCAGTCCAGGATCGTGGATTACATTAATCTGTCATGATCTTTAATATCCTGTACCTGGAACAGCTCCTCAATCTTTCTGTCTTGTATGACATTGGTATTTTTCAAGAACGTGGAGCAGTTATTGTATAGAATGTTTTTCAATTTTGGCTTGAACATTTCAGTTCTGGTTGGTTTGATGTTTTGCTATTATTGAAGTGACATATTTCTGTTTTAGGATATTACAGGAGTAGTGCTGTGTCTTTCTCATGGTATTACATCCAGTTGCATACCTTGTCTTTCTGCCTGTCATTAGTGATATTAATTTTGATTATTTGGTCAAGGTACTGTCTGGTTCTTCATTGGATAGTTGCTAGTTTTCCTCTTGCCTTTGTTTTTTGTTGTTGTTTTTGTTTTTTCCCTTAACTTTTTCTCCCTGTGGCCGGGCACGGTGGCTCACGCCTGTAATCCCAGCACTTTGAGAGGCTGAGGCTGGCGGATCACAAGGTCAGGAGATCGAGACCACTCTGGCTAACATGGTGAAACCCTGTCTCTACTAAATATACAAAAAATTAGCCAGGTGTGGTGGTGGGTGCCTATAGTCCCAGCTACTTGGAAGGCTGAGGCAGGAGGAGAATTGCTCGAACCAGGGAAGCAGAGGTTGTAGTGAGCTGTGATCTTGCCACTGTACTCCAGCCTGGATGACAGAGCGAGACTCCATCTAAAAAATAAATAAATAAATAAATAATCTTTTTCTCCCTGTGATTTCCTGAAACTTCTTGCATCTAAAAAGCAATCTGTGGGGAGACATTTTGTGACCATATAATTAACCTGCTCCTCAGAAAACATAAAATACAAGCCTTGGGTTCTCTTAGAGTAGAGAAAGGGATCAGTGATTCAGGACAATTTCTCTTAAAGCTTCTACAGAGAGGGTATACCATCAGAGAGAAGATGTACTGGGGAGACGCACTTTACACTGTTTCAACCAGCAAGGAATATTTCTGTCTCAGCTTTCACTTTGAGTGGAAGGCAAAGAAAAAAAATCACATGAGAACTTGTAGCTGCTGACCAGCTGCTCCCACATGGGTTTAGAAACTGGTTTTACACTATTTATGTGACCTCCAATAGCTGCAAGTTGGAAATCTTGATTTAAAGTGGACCTGAGTTTTTACCGTCTCTGAGTACTTGACAAAAGCAAGTTTAAGACTTCCCTAACTCAAAGTCCCCACAGATCACTGCAGCCAATATGAACAATATGAACCAAAAGACACACACACACACACACACACACACACACACACACACACACTCACACACTCAAACACACAGCCCCTGAAACAAAATATAATGAACAAGAGTCAGTAGAAACAATAATAACCTCTCATAATTTCAGATATTGGAAACATTGAATATAGACTGTAAGTTAATTTAGTACCTTTGGGGAAGCAAAGGAAGGAAATGAAAACATGAGTAAAGAAAGAGATACCATCAAAAACAACCAGGTAATTTATTTTTAAAAAATCAAATATAATGTTCAGAAGTGAAAAGCATCAACATTTAGATAAAAAAAATTATGGACTGGTTAAGTATTAGAATAGAAACAGCAGAAATGAGAATTAGTGAAGTAGAAGGTAAGTCTGAAGAAATAACACAGGCTGAAGCTTATAGAAACAAAGGGATGTAAAACATGAGAGGTTCAGAGATTCCGTGAGAAGATCCAACTTATGTCTAATTGGAGTTCCAGAAGAAGCTTCTGCAGAGAGTGGCAAAGAGATAATATTGAAATAGATGATGAGTGAGAATCTTCATAATTGATGAACAACAGGCCTTTGTCTGTCATTTGTGGAGGCTAGCACAACAGTTTAAATGGAGGCCCACAGTCCATGTCTAAATATTTAAAAGTTACAAATGTGACAGACTGTGAAATAAAATATGGCTATACTTCTACCTTGACAAATATGTCTCTGTGATAATCTAGAAGATGAGGTTTACATTTAGAGTTCTTGAACTCCACAGAGTTCTGTGCTGGCACGTAGCAGCACAGAGTGAGCCAGACCTTCACCTGTGGCCCAGCCCTTTTGTCTTTTTTCCCCCAGCTTTCTCCATGCTGTGAGGGGCCTCATGCACACATGTGAAGATACTTCAGCCTGCATGTCTAAGCTCTGTTCACGCTCCTCACAAGCATACTTCTAAGTGGCAACTGTGGCCTATGCTCACATGCTGGTGCATTCTGCTTTCTTTTTTATTTATCTATTTTTTTAGAGACAGGGTTTTATTCTGTTGCCAAGGCTGGAGTACAGTGGCCTGATCATAGCTCATTATAGCCTTGAACTTCTGGACTCATGCAATTCTCCTGAGTAGCCGAGACTGCTAATTATCATGCCTAGCTATTTTTATTTTTATTTTTTGTAGCTTTCAAACCCAGCCTGGTCTCACTGTGTTGCCCAGGCTGGGTTTGAACACCTGGCCTCAAGCAGTCTTTCTGCCTCACCTCCAAAGTGCTAGAATTACAGGCATGTGCCACTATGCCTACCCAGCATTCTACTTTCATAATAGACCCATGGAAAAGCCCCATGCAAAACCCTGAATGTGGCATAGATTCAAGTAAGTAGGGAATTCCTGGATCCTGGATACCTAGAATATGATGATCAGACTCAGGGTGGGTGCATCTCCTTGGATCTTCAGACCCCTTGCCCTATGGGGAGAGGTGGAATCTTTTAAATTATAGAATCTAGGGTAGGGGCCTTGCTTGGAGTAGGTTCTAAGAGTGGTAATGAGAGACAAAAATTATCTGGTTCAGGAAGCCCATCAAATTCCAACGCAGCAAAGAAAGAAAGGAAAGAAATTCATATCTAAGCATATCAGTAAACCTGTGAAACTATAGAACATCAAAACCAGAAAAGATTCTTAAAAATATCGAGAGAGAAAAGACAGATCACTTACAAAGGAACCACAGTTAGTCAATTAGTATGCCAGCTGGCTTTTCTATACCAAGAGTGGAACTCCTGAAGCAGTGTTTTCAAAGTAGGCAGTGAAAATAACTGTTAATCTAGAAGTGTGTAGCCATAAAACAGTCTTTGAAGAATAAGAATGAGCTTTGCGCAGTGGCAATATCGTAGGGTTTATCCGAGGTGCAATTATTGCCAATTGAAAACTTTTCCCAATACCCCGCCGTGACGACTTGCAATACAGTCGGCACTGGCAATTTTTGACAGTCTCTACGGAGACTGATTAAAAAATAAATAAATAAATAAGAATGAAGTGAAATAAAGACATTAGATAAATGAAAACAAAAAGAATTTACCACTGAGAATTCATCACTGTGATGGTTAATATTACATGTCAACTTGATTGGGTTGAAGGATTGTTTCTGGGTGTGTCTGTGAGGGTGTTGCCAGAGGAGATTGACATTTGAGTTGGTCGACTAGGAGAGGAAGACCCACCCTCAGTGTGGGTGGGCACCATCCAATTGGTTGCCAGTGCAGCTAGAATAAAGCAGGCAGAAGAAGGTGGGATAAGCTTGCTTGCTTGCGGAGTCTCCTGGCTTCCTTCCTTCTCCCATGTTGGATGCTTCCTCCCACTCCTCCTGCCCTTCAACATAAGACGCCAGGTTCTAAGGCTTTTGGACTCAGGCTTGTACCAGTGGCTTGCCAGGGGTTCTTGGGCCTTTGGCCACAGACTAATGGCTGCACTATTGGCTTCTCTGGATTTTAGACTTTCTGACTTGGACTGAGCTACTACCAGCTTCTCTCTTCCCTGGCTTGCAGACCGCCTATATTGGGACTTTGCCTTGTAATCATGTGAGCCAGTTCTCCCAAATAAACTCCCTTTCATGTATACATATATCCTATTTGTTCTGTCCCTTTGCTGAACCCTAATACCATCACTAAAGAACACCCTTAAGAAGGGAAATGACACCAAGAAGGAAGGTTTAAAATTTAAGAAGCCATTACATTGATCCAGAGGGATGCATTTACTTGCTTGAAGATCACACTTGATTCAAAACCAAACCTAGACTTAAACCCAGATAGGATGCAAGAAAGAAATCAAGTTAACAGGGCCAGGCGCGGTGGCTCACGCCTGTAATCCCAGCCCTTTGGGAGGCCAAGGCAGGTAGATCACGAGGTCAGGAGACCAAGACCAGCCTGGCCAACATGGTATAACCCTGTCTGTGTTAAATACAAAAATTAGCCAAGCTTGTTGGCGCGCACCTGTAGTCCCAGCTACTGAGGAGGCTGAGGCAGGAAAATCGCTTGAACCCAGGAGGCAAAGGTTGCAGTGAGCCGAGATTGCAC